CCCCATGGCTTCCTAGCATTTCCTCTTTAAACCCCTTCTTCCTCTCTCCTCCTACTCTGCTTATCAGTTATCACACACAGAGAGGGAGACTACCTTGCAGCAAATGAAGAAATTGAAGAACTATTACGTGCACTTGAGGCACCAACCAAAATGGGAGCGAAAATGGATTTTCCCTCTCGCTATAGGCTCTATTGTCTCCCTCTTCCTTCTCTGCCTCGCCACTCTTGCATCGTCCGATGGTACTTCTCTCTTTCCCATTTATCGCTCTATAACCGCTTCCTATTCCGTTTTTGTTGAATCCAAGCTTCATCCTATACCCGCTTCTCCGCTACCTCCCCGCCACCGAGTTTCGCATACCTCATATCTGGGTCCGTCGGTGACGGTAATCCGCTCAAACGCACGCTTTTAGCACTTTACCATCCTCGCAACTCCTACGTCGTGCATTTGGACCGTGAATCGCCGCCTGAGGAGCGAGCTGATCTGCTGAAGTTTGTGAAAAATCATCCAGTTTTCCGGAAATTTGGTAATGTAAAGGTAATCAAGAAGGCGAATCTGGTTACTTACCGGGGCCCCACAATGGTTGCGAACACCCTTCATGCCGCTGCGATCCTGTTAAGGGAAGGCGGTGACTGGGATTGGTTCATAAATCTAAGTGCCTCTGACTATCCACTTGTTACCCAGGATGGTTAGTGATTTATTTCCTATATCGGCAATCGGACGATTTGTGATTTGCTTTAATGTTGTATCACTGACTGATTAGTGAGTTCTGCCTTGTCAGATCTGCTGCATACATTTTCATATCTGCCTCGCGAGCTTAACTTCATTGATCATACCAGTGACATTGGATGGAAAGAGTGAGTGGGGTTTGTTCTTTGTTTTAAAATTTCCTCCCTTCCTGTTCTTTGACGATGATGATTTGACTGGTTCTGTGCTTGTGCGCAGTCATCAACGGGCAAGGCCGATAATAATTGATCCGGGGTTGTATTTGTCTAAAAAACAAGATGTGTTCTGGGTTACTCAGCGAAGGAGTAGACCAACTGCCTTCAAACTTTTCACAGGTAAATAATGTTATCTGGTGTTATTTTTTTTCCCCTCCCTTCGAAGTTTGTTCTGTTGATCGCCATTCCTATGCTGCATAGTTTTGGTAAATACGCACAAATTATTCCCCCATCTGTTGTTAATTAAAACAAGTTCTGGCTAGCCCAGGACTTTCTGTGGCGATTGGCGAAGGAAGTTTCTTTGAACATATTGTGATAAAATTTGATATATGTTTTTTTTTTTTTTTTATGGGTTGGGATGATGTCAAATGATCGAAGCTTAAGAAATAATTCATGCATGTCGTGGTGTCATCGCTGCGGTTCTGAATTTTATGTGCACAGAAGAAAGCTTTGGTGTTTTGTTCTCTGCTCTGTATCATGTTGTGATTGTAAAGGAAGATCATTATCTGTCAAAGTTTGAACCTGAATTATATCTCTCAGTTTCTGTTTTATTTCTTGTAACTCTTTTTAGATGTCCCCATTTGCACAACCTTTTCCTGACTCCATAACTCTGGTAGAATTGTGTATGAACTGAATGTGCTTGTATGAAAGTGTTTGGCTACGCAGCCTTGACTTCACCAATATATTTGTTGAAGAGAACTGAAGACATCGGAAAATTGTTTTCCGGAATTCGAAAGGAAAAATTTTGTCAGGTTATTACGTCTTTTCAACCTTGATTGACCTATTATATACTTTGCTATGAGATAAAACAAATTGAGCGAGACATCGAACCTATCTTTTAATCACATTAAATATCACAAATTGACATCTGACTTCTTGCAGCTTTAAAACCTATGTTGAAATTTGATGTTAAATTCTCTCTAGTTTACCAGGGCCTTTGTAGACTTTTCCTTACTCCTTACTTTGGGCTTGACTTACTGAATGTTGTGTTTGTTTTAATTAGGCATGACTGATTGACAATTTGTTACCGTGGATGGATTATTGTCATTGATGGATGTCAGCTCTAGCCTGCACAACATATTTCAATTCTGGTTTCTTAAGTAGTAGTTAATCTGGTTGGCCCTAAAAAGAAAGTAATAGTGAATCTGCATAGAAGTTATTATTTTTTGTAGTGTGCGCTAAATAATCGTTTGGTCTTATCATATGTCCATCTCACTGTTATACTACCTCCGGTCCTTAATATAAGACCCTATAAGACCTCAATCCATTTTGTCACTCATATTTATACATTTTTTTTCCAAAGTAGCCCTTCTAATAATGATAGTTTTAGTCAATACCCTTGATTAGTAAGGATATTTTGGAAAAAACAACACCTATTTAGGACAAATAACTAACTCAACTTACTTCTTTAATCTCTTCAAATTAGTCAACTAGCTCTTATAATTAGGATCGAAGGTAGTAGTTCTTATCAAGCTTGCATGGTCAAACTATTGTGCAAGAAAAACATTCAAGCATATTTTAATAATGCTGTGTGTGGCTGTAATTCCACTTAACGTGGAAGCTTTATTTTATCAGATTGGATCATTCTCGAAGCAGGCTTGGTCTTGCTAATGTTTGTCTCTCTTATAATGTGGTAAACAACAAATTAATCAATTGCATTCTTAGTACTGTGGGAACCAACTAATTAATCAATTATATCACCTGTTCTGTTCATCTAAGCTTTCTTGGAGTTCATTTATTCCCGATAGAGAGGAACAAAGCGTACATGAATTTTTGACTTCTTTCAGTTTTCATTTTATTTAATATGATTGCTGAAGGACAGCAATTCAGTTATGGTCCTAGTTGGGATCAAATTCCTTAGAAACAGCCAATTCACCTGAAAAACAATCCCCCTTTTTTGGAAAACAAAACTCAAACTGCAGAATCATTAGAATTCGAAATTCAGGCAATGAACCTTGGAACATTATATAAATGGTTGCCTTAATCTCCTTTCTTGTTTCAGGTTCGGCTTGGATGGTACTCACTCGATCTTTCATCGACTACTGCATATGGGGATGGGATAACCTACCTCGAACTGTTCTAATGTACTATGCAAATTTCATATCTTCTCCTGAAGGATACTTCCATACTGTCATATGTAATGCCCAGGAATTCAGTAACACAACAGTGAATAGCGATCTCCATTTCATTACTTGGGACAATCCTCCCAAGCAACATCCTCACTACCTTAGGCTTGCTGACATGCATCGGATGATCGATAGCAATGCTCCCTTCGCAAGGAAATTCCCAAGAGATGATCCGGTATTGGACAAAATTGATGCTGAACTTTTATCCAGAGGTCCTGGCATGGTTGTTCCTGGAGGCTGGTGCATTGGAAGCCGGGAGAATGGGTCTGATCCCTGCTCTGTTATTGGTAATACTACTGCCCTCAGGCCTGGTCCAGGCGCAAAAAGGCTGGAAACTCTGATCAGCTCATTGTTGTCCAACGAAAGTTTCCGACCAAGACAGTGCAAATGACCATGAGCTGGCAGATGTGTTTGTTCTGCCGGCTTTCGGCCTTATTTGATACGTGCGAATTTAGTTAGCATGATCATCGGATAAATGTTCCTTTCTAGTGGAAAAAATCTGAAATTATACGCATAATCTCTTCTGGAGGGAAGCCAGGGGAGTCGCTGGTGAAGATTGAAGATTTGGTTTCCTTCCAGTAATGATATTGTATACACTTATACATGACCCCATAGCAGAACTGAATGTAGCCCTTACTGAAGTAGTCACCGCTTCCTTCCTGTTTTCTTTTTCTTCACTATATTCCAAGGACTAACGATCAAAAATGGGTAAGCTGATTTTGGCTTTTGTTGCTCTCTTTTACATGCGGAACAAGTTTGATGCAAAATAGTGGTAGATAAGAGAGGGGATTAGCTGTACAGCCCCCACCACGAAAAAAGGGAAATAAAATAAAGAGAGGGAATTTGAGTGACACCAGAAGTGTTTAAAAAAAAAAAAAAAACACCCTATGTGCGCTTATGGCTTTCTTCCCTCCTCGTTTCGGAGGCTATGCACACTTTTGGGACTTGGCCCACCTGCTACAAGCAGCATCAAATCGCAATTTTTGCTAGGGTTGATCACCCCCCCCCCCCAAAAAAAAAGGCATGAATGACGGAACATATTCTAGAACATGCCCAATGGTCAAATCTCTGACCAGATTAGTCTGCCTACAGAGCTCCCATCTTTCTTTCGGACAGGTGTTTTACATAGATGGTACTTGCATATGTGCGACTTGGTCATGGATGGGAACATCAGAAACGTGAAATTTGCCGAACTCTCGTTGACCTTGGCGTTAGGTGAGGTACTAGCATGGTATTTATTTTATGCGGGTCTCCAACTGGAAGGCCTCAATTTAGGCCCACTCATTTAGAAGATCAGTAGACACCATTTCACGTATTCCCATTGATAAATAAATATATCAATGTGAATCTGGGAGTATGCCTTTGCCTTGGTAAACCTTCGGATCATTCTCACCTGGCCAACAAAAAGAAAAGAAAAAAATGAATGAAATAAAAATTATATAATACTACTGCAAGGATTCCGTGTACGAACGGGGGAAAAAAAATGCAGCGAATTCATCTTGCGCTCTTCGTATCTTGAGGTCAAATGGGACTACCGATTAAAACAAACCCGCATCGAATTTGACTCAGTCCCTTATGGCAAGTTTTGAGTTGAGACTACCAGAGGGAATAAAGTTAGCTGTTCAGATATTTATGAGAATATTTCTTAGTAAGAATAATAAATCAGGAGGAAAAATAGTAATTTCTTCATTTTTATTATTGGAAAATGCACTGCGCAAATAATAACCTTCTCTCGCCTGCGATGTTGACCTTTTTTTTTTTATCTTACTTTAAATGAAAATCAATTCTCCAACGAAAAAAAAAGGCTGTTCGTTTTTTCCCCCGAAAAAAAGGGAATGCACCAGCTGTTTTAATTTTAATTTTAATTTTCTTATCGGCGCCCTTTCCTAATTCAAACGTCATACATCCTTATCTGATTGCGGCTTACTGTTTGAAAATATCTATTATTATGATTTTTCTGACAAAAATAATTGCTGTTTTTGAATTCAGTAAGTATCAATATTTTTTACCTTTACTATTTTACACTGTATTAATAATTATAAGCCAAACCAAATAATTACTCACCTGATTTCATAACATAAGGGTTGTCTTTTGAAGGTTTTTACACAACCAATAGTTACACCTCTTCTTTTTTCTTTTTTTAAAAAATATTTTTCCCCTTTCACAAATTTCAGCCTCACCTCCTCGCTCCCCGTATTTCACCCATGTTTGGCATACTTAAATTTGAAACATAAAAATGGGAGCTCCCCCCCCCCCCTCCATGTATAAAAAGATGAAAACGGAGAATCCACCAAAAAAAGTTTGAAATTACTAAATTTCAAATCAGGTTTAATAATAATACTTTAATAGATTTTGATAACACTAAACTCAAAATAATAACATATTTTTTCAGCATTTTTTTTTATTTAGGATTTAGTAATTTTAAAAAAAAATTTTGTAGGATTTTCCCTAAATTGCAAGCACATGCAATTAACTTTTTTTTTTTAAAAAAAAATCTTTTCATTTCCATCACCAAGTTTGGAGACATATACATTATACAGACAAAGAACTCCCTTACATTGCGAGCCCCATTTCAATGTATTCAAATGATCAGTCTCGAATCCCTATCACTGGCCCCAAGTGTCTCTCTGAAATTGACAGCGTGTTGTTGAGAAGACCCGTATTTCTCTGTGCATGAAACTAATCATTGCCTGGATTGTACTATTTTCAGTTCTAATTGTAAGACTTTACTTGTAGATTATAAATAAAATTTTATAATTAAAACAAGATGTAGTATTTATTTTGGGACAATTAATTTGTCTGTTTCGAAGAGATAATTAAAGATGCAGAACAATAAAAAAGATCGGACGTTATAGCGATTAATACGAGTGTGAAGTGATTTTGGAAGCCAGTGAATTAGATTTCTGATATGAACGTTGATTCTATTATCCACGCACCCCCTCATCAAGATTTCAGACCCTTCAATGCGTTGCGCTTTAGACTAAAAGAAAAACTACTTCATTATTAGCATCTACATTTAGGATGGGAGATGGTAATATATTTTGAAATATTATAACTATTTAAAACAAACATTAAATTTTTGGTTATTTATAAGGCTGTTTCAGTGAAATAACATCAAATTTTATTATGACTAAATTATTAATAAGGAGTAAATTTCTCAGCGATTAATTTTGAGAAGTTAATATAGGAACGGATACTTGTATAGACCCCCCCCCCCAAAAAAAAAAAAGATTTCACGTGCCTCGGTTTTACCTTGTGCCTCACAGCTCAGCACATGGTAACAAACTGTAAAGTGCAAACAATACTGGAATAAAAATGCTAGAAAGACTCTACTTAATTAGACTTGTAAGATGGGCCAACAAGAAAAACAAAGTTTGAAAGGAACAATGTTAAAATATCCAATGTTAAAATATTTCAGAAGCAATCTATCCTAGGCTTGTAATTTAACGATGAAAGAATCAGCAGACGCAACTTGAACTAATTTAATTATTAGAACGTGGAATATTATCACCTTCCAATAAAGTAGTAATACAGCATCGGAGGATTGGATAAGGATACAGTAACTAGCACATATACAATCACAGCAATAATACGGTCGATCGTGTTCAAAATAATGAAGTTCATTATTGGCAATATATATGTGAGCTGGATTCGATATTTCGTAACATCAAAAGAATCACAAGTCCTGAGCATTGGTCCCCCTGGGGTCCGTTTCAGTACTAGACACAAATATTAATACATAATTCTGCATTGTGGTCGGATAAATCAGAAGCACTTAGTTGTTTGATTCGTAAAGACAAAATATTAAAGGCAAATATAATATCTTGTATATACCGGTAAGTTTTACCAATTTGTGGACGAGATCGATTGCAGTTCAAGATGAACAATAAGCTCCAATTCCATTACGTGCTTAATAATTGATCTGTGCCAACAAATTTATGATCTAAACAAAGGATGTGGAATTAATGGGCCAGGACATCGATCTTCAGAAACATTCATGAAACAAACAAAACGTGTTTCTTGCAGCTTTAAGATAGAAAACGATTGTTGAAAGCAGCAAGATGACAAAAGCCAGAGTTCACATCTCCAGAACCAAGGGGGAAAAAAATCTCAGAATAATGTTGCCAAGAACTTACAAATTCATAGAGAATTACCCATATATATATATCTGTGACGCACAGAATTTCCTGTCATGCACATGTCCTCTGCATAGAAGAAGAGGAGGAGGAGGAGGAAGAGAAGAAGGGAGGAAACTAGTGTTGAAATGAGAAAGAAACAGGAGGGGCTTCAGTGGCAGAGAGATGACAACTACTTCAAACAGTAGGCGTCATCTCTCCTGCGACTGAAGGCCCTGACATTTCTCTTGTATTATGCATATACATGTGATCTGTGCTCAAAATCTCTCCTGTTCTTTGGGTTTCAGAGCTCCCCATATTTATAAGGAAGCAAGCTTCTTTTTACCCTCCAAACTTCCGTACATATTTTCACCAAAAAATAAATAAAATAAACTGCCGTACATATATCCACATTAAAATATTGGGGAAGGTGCTATTTGCTGAAGGCATCCACTCAGTTAATCTCTACTTCCTGCTATCCACATGATGATATGATTAAATAATTATTAGTAATATTATTACATGATGGTTCCTCCGACTTTGAACAGAAACAAACATATATAAAACGTTTAAAATAATTGTGCGATTCCTCTGGCTTTACCAAATGATTATATGATTTCTTTATTAAGCTGTCAACGGCGTGTAGGACAGCTGGAAATGATGCTCACTGGTCCTCCAACATAACGTGCCTAAGAAAGCAAATTTTATATTCCCTGACAGGAGAATATAATAAATTTAATATATTTTCTTTGCTTGCTTTCTTACTCTTACTTTTCTTCCGGTTATGTATATGAGGTGTGAACAAAGAGGGAAGACCGTACTGTAGCTTTGGACCCCCTTAAATTTGGTCGTGCTCGATCGAAATATTTATTAGGAAGATTCATTGCATATCGATCATTTGACTGTGGAAATCTTCCAGTTAGATTTACCTAATTTTGAAGACCTGAGTCATCTTCTTGAAGAGGACGAAAATGAGAGAAAGATAAGGGACAAGGTTTAATTAAGGTGCCTGTTCAAACGACGTGCTCATTAATTGTGGGACATTAACACATACTAGACCCCCTGTTACATTTTTTTTGACCCACGACGGCTGCTGATGATGAGGCAACGCCACGACATCAACTTTGTCACTTGTGTGTTCTAAACGAAAATATAATGAGAATTAGGTCTAGTGAAAAAATTAGTTACTTACAACATTATGAATTAATGTTTAAATTTTCATTGAGAAAAACACACATATTTAGTGACAATGTTTCTAACAGACCTCCAGTAAAAAAAAATTTGTTTGTTTGACAAAATAAAATTAAAATACATAACTTTAAATATAATGCTTTTTAGTATTTTAAAATAAAACGTTTCACTTATAATTACTATTATTATTAAAGCACAATAAATATTATAAAAACAGAGTGATCATGAAGAGTTGGACGAAGATGTATACATAAGTGGGGTTTGACACCATCCTAGCTAATACAACTTCTTAAGATAATAAATTTATGAGTGCTTACACTTATACATCGATCTTTTCTTTAACCCAACTCTATTATAAATGTGAAATTTCTTCAATATTAAGTCAAGTACACTCACAATTAGGGGCAAATGTTCAGAGTATTTCTGAAATCATACA